TATAAAGACTACCACCACCACTACCCCCACCACTACTACGAACAGCAGCAGCACCATCATCTACATCATCACCATCACTACCACCACGGCAACCGCTAGCAGGACCGCCACCACTACTACAACACAACAACAAGAAAATAAGAACAGGAACAACAACAATAGCAACAGCAACAGCAGCAGCAGCAACAACAACAACGACAACAACAAACGAAACAACGGTAACAATTGCATAATAACTATTAACCAGAATGACTCAATCTGTTTGCCAACACTCGGAAAAACACACACAGTCCTACAACAGGACACACGTCACAAGAACTGACCACGGGGCCTGGACTTTGATGACTGACCATCCCCCGTGCCCTCCTCGCCCTGACCACTATTATCTGTCGTGTCCAGTACGGGTCGGACGAAGCCTTTGGGAAAGAGGAGGAATGTCGTCAGCAGGGGCAAGAGACACAAGGCGGCCAGGCCTATGTAGCACGCGCGTCTGCTCACACCGGCCTCGTAGAGGAGCTGGAAAAAAAGTGTGGGGGAGGGTGGGGGTGGGGGTGAGAAAACAGAGGGGGAAATATTATGTTATGCCTGCCACCTGTCCAAGACACTCACATGTAGTAAATGACCTTTGACTCCAACTCTCCCCTTTGCGTTTTAAAATATCATAACGACACTGTCCAAGGTGTCCATTTGTCAAAGAAAACTGCTTTTCTCCTTGACCACGGATGACCGTGTTAGACAAGTTTGACTGCATATTATATTAACAATGATAAGTTTCGTGTGATGAATTGCACTTGTGGGTGTGTCCTGGTGTGGTTTGCTCATTCTTTCCTATCAAACTCCTATCATCTCAATCTTACCTCCTTCTTTTTATATTTGTTATTTTCTTTTAACACCTTTAATCTTCGGCACTAATATGACCATATTGTGCTTCAAAACTTCCGTAAATCTCTGACTAGATCTAAAACTGAAAAAAAAACTAAATTGCTCTATCAAGACCGTTACAAATCTTGACACCGGTAAACATTTTGAGGGGGCTCTCGTGGCCTAGAGGTTAAGGTGTTGGCCTCTCATTCAAAGGTCCCGGGTTCGAATCCAGGTAGCGACCGAAAAAATTTCTTCTCTAAAATTGTCTCCTTTCACCTCCTTTCCTGCTCTCCAGCAATGTTCTGTTGTCTGCTTTCATTTCCACTTTCTGCCCCCGCCCCCTCACCTCCTTTGCCTCCTCCTCTGGGCTCCTGACTCTTTCTGCAGCATTTCTACTGCTACTCCTTGGCTCCTCCTTACTGCTGTCTTTCTGCCACACCCCTGATCTTCTGGTAGGAACGATCTACACCTAGCCTTCTCGGACAAGGGCGAAAAATCTCGGAGGGTCCGTGTGCAAGTTGCGCACGTTAAAGATCCCTTGGTGGTCTAAAATTGATAAGAGTGGGCTTCGGCCGTCACCCGGGCAAAATTCAAAATTTCCTACCAACTGAAAATATTAGGTGTGTCCCGCGCGCTCATATGACCTTATGCAGTTGCGAGCGCCGTAAAACACTTTGCAAAAACCAAAACATTTTGATAAAAACCAAACAACAACAACAACTACAACAACACGTTCTGTATAATTTAATTTAAAGAATTCCAAGCCGTTTATGCAAATGACTACATAAAAGTGCAACAGGCGCATGTCATTTACACTAATTACAGTGCGAAAAAAATAATAGCACAAAAACGCATCAAATTCGAAACCCCTTTTTCGTTTGTCTTGTACTTGTAGGAGGAGCTTTGGAACAGGAAGTGGGATTTTGGGAGTGTCCATGGGTGTGACCTTTACGAACAGTGATGCTGGTGAAAATTGGAGGTTATTAAAAAAAAACCCAGCTGCGTGTGGTGACCTTGTTAACAAAACTAACCGCACAAAACAAAACAAAACGAACGAAAAACCTCCCCAAAACCCGCACCCGGTCAATTTTCTTTTTTTGGTAAGAGCACAAAAAATGCATCAACAACAGCTGTCACACGCAGGAGACTCCCAGTTCGATTCCCGAGTGGGGAAGGGGTGTGGGCGGGGGGTCGCATGGTGTCAGATAAGAAATTTGCAAGGAAATTAGAGGTATTGGCACTTTCTTAAAGCTTGTTCTTGCCTTGCTTTTGATGAATAAAAATACCCATCTGTCTTGAATAGAAGTAGAGATATTTCCCAGAGAAGGAGTAGGGGGTAGCATGGTGTCAGAGGAAAAATTAGCGAGAAAATGGCAGCCAAAGTTTACTGACTTTACTTTCAAAGTATGAATGTCCTCGGAAACTTATAATTTACTTTTTTTTGGGTGTGCATTTGACTAACATTGTGCAGTAAAATCCACAAAGACATGTGGTTTTAAAGTTTTAAATCAGCATGAAAGGTGTTGAGCCCCCCCCCCACACACACACACGCGCGCACGCGCACGTACACATACACACCCCCCCACATAAACACACTTTCACAAACACACACACACACGCACACACACACACAGAGACACACACACAAACACACAAGACAAAGAGTGCACAACGTATGGAAAAATGTCCGATTCTATGACTTCCTTATTTTGACAAGCGCCTGCTTCATCACAATGCTGCACAATTAATTCACATGCACGCATCTTTTTTCCTAACATTTGATTGATTTATCACACTGTGCAAAAATATGTTTGAAGCTGTGAGACTACAGACTGTCACTAAGAATACAAGCCGGAACTATAGGCAACAAGCAGGTGTAAGCACAAGCACATACACACACTCAGAGACACACATACACACGGGTGCCCGCGCACACACACACACACACACACACACACACACACA